TTCAGGTGTTCATGACCTTCATGAAAAAAGGTATGCCTTGGGTCGTGCGCTTTTCCACTCACAGGTTCAATTCTCATGATTTGAGAAGCGGTGGTGGAGCACAGCGGCGAGAACCATTTCGCGCAGGCTAGTTTCAAGGTCTCTTTGGTCATTGATCAAATTGGAGCAAATGGCAGATCTATGAGCGAGGTCGTTACATAGTCGTTACCTAGGACACCACATTCAAGAGATGGACATTGGTGAAAGAGAAACGAATCCTCAACGGAATGCGGGAGCCGCATTTGCTTCAACAATTGCGGCTCGTCAGTTCTCGGCCACCAGGACAAGCCACAGCCGCCCATCATCCTTCCAGTGAAACGTTTGGACTTTGTGATCCGACGACCGCCGCCCACAGGCAGGCAGCACAGATGTCAGGGACGGGCAGCCCTGAAAAGTTGTGGAGTTCGTGGAAAATGGATGAAAGCACACAACAACATCCGAGAAGGGAAAGAATGGAAAAGGAATCGCCCTATGTTGCTATTGTTGCTTCCTGTCCTATTTAGGAAGTTGCCTACTTCTGAAGTACTCTTGCTCTTTTTGTGGCTGAGTTTTGTTGACAGCAGAGAAGGTACTGGTTGGTGTTTTTGGTTCTACGGTTCTACGTGTCTTTTCTTTACCAAATGGACTCATGCTGCACAAGCTGACAAAGAAAATGTCCCCACTGTTTACAACGCTGAGCATGGTGTTTACTCTATGCTGCGAATGGAAGTCATCGACATGCCCTTGATTCGCCGCTTGTCAAAAGGGCATTCACAGACCACGACCTTTGATGGGTTCGATAACCAGCGTTGATCATGGGGCGTTCCAAAAAAGAATAAAAACGACCTCCCTGGGCGGGTCAATCGACTAAAGAGCATGCATGCCGGGCGCGTCCACTCTAAAACTCCCCAATCACCATCTTATCTTGCAACTCAAAATGTACAACAGGACCCAAAGAAAATCAGAGAAATCCACCTCACATCCAGAGGCAAAACATTGGAAACCCAGAGGTTGTATCGCCTAGTTCTCGACCTCCTCTGCCAAAATATCCCCTCTACCCGACGCTCTCCCTGGTCAGCAACAGCTTCGGTGATCGTTTCCGAAGGCCACCACCCGATGGCTGCGCCACCAACCGCCTGGGAGCAGATGTTGTGACAAAGCCCCCGCGGCAGCCGGTGGGAGGATGGGGACAAGGGTGGATGTGCGCAAGATGGTGCAAGCCAAACTCCCCCCAAACCTCCATCATCGCAAAAGCGGATGAAAAGTTATGGCTTGGCGGCTTTGCCCTTACTTTGAGACGGACGCACATGAGAGTAAGCAGCCTTAGGTTCCAAAGACACAAAGCCTGATGTAGATGTGCTGCCTGATGAGATGTGCAGTTTGTTCGTTTGCAGAGGTTGATCAGGAGCCGTCTTTGCCGGCGCCCCTCAACATGTGGCTCAAATCAGACTACATTTTATAAAAGTGTCAATTCAATGTCACAATTAATAACTACTGCAGATACCATCGTAGTGTTTGGTCAAGTCAGGAATGTCAAAGACCTGTCATAAAGTTTGATTCTTAAAAAGATGATGTGTAAATGTTCGGTTGTTGTCTTTTGGCTTTCTGTTCCTCTAGCTTAGCTTGCGATGCCATAGACTTGAATAGATCGAGCCATTGACAACATGGACATAGAACACCCCAGTTCTTTAGGTGGGATTGTTTGATGCTGAGCTTTTTCACTTTGGACTCTTGAAGAAGAGCATCTCTCAAAGCAATCGCTGGCTTCGCCGTCAACTCAAATCTTTTAAGAAGCCGCCACTCGTTCGCTGCAGCTTTGCTCCGCTTCGCTTCCGCCGATTGGCGTGAGAAGCAGTCATCTGACGTAGCGGTATCGGGCTTTCTCCATGGAGCTGTTTATCTCATGGCTGCAGTCGCTGGCCACACCCGAGGAGGCCGACGCCTCAGGGCTGTGATTTTGGGTTGGGGATGTCGAATCCAAAAATCCCTGAATACATTTAGTGGTGAGTTGTTTGTTGTCGTTGGAGTCATTGCAAAGATCTGTGTGGGTGTCTTTGTCCCAGCATGCTTTTTGTTAGGGTGGGTGAACTCGCTCCAAAGTTCCAGTACAGGTTTTGAGAGAAAGCCTCTATGAGAAGAGCCTTCAGTGAAGGATGCCCCAGAGTATGGAAAATTGATCTGGAATTGCTTTGCGCAGCATCCTTGTACTTCAACAGTCGAAGAGAAAGGAGAGTGCCTTGGTAGCTAACATCCATACACGATGAGAGATGAGACTAGATCAGCACCTGAACAATGGGAAACTTGCGTATCAGTCTCACCCTCCCGCAGGAATGGATGCCTTGACGTACTGCAAAAGCCAACCACAGGGTCCTCATCTACCTTTTCGTTCCTGAAAGAGAGGCACCACCTCAACCTCAAATGCCACGCGGGTAGTGGCACCCTTCCTTCCCTTTCTGGCACAAGATTCTCCCTTCAAAAGTAGATTTTAAAAAAAAGAAAAAGTAGCACCCATTCTAGCCCGACGCACCACAACTGACTCGACCCTCCTGTGAGGCGATGGATAGGCTGTATGTCGTGTATTTTCTAATATTCTTGATGGTATTCATTTCCCAATCTCAACCACACGATGTTTGATGGTTGATTTTCTGGATTGGACGGATATATAAGCAGAATGTCTTACTCATGGATTCGGGAACCTCCCATCGTTCGTCCAGGCACCGAACCTCACAGCGGGTGCTGCCTGCCCCTGCGCCGAGCCCGTCACGAATTCGAGCACCGCCACCACCACGGAATACATAACAGCGAGTGAGGCAGCGCAGCAGTCACTCGGTTTTGACTGAGTGTTGGGCGATCTGAGAGAATGGAGAGAATGTCAGTCTTGTCCCGCAAGAAGTTCTTCTTCTAGCTTCCTTTATCCCAAGGATTTGGGGAGGCCTGACAAAATGAGGCACTCCATGGGTGCATGTTTATTGATTGAGGATGACAATTACGAGACATGAACATCATCGGTCATTATTGAACATCACGGTTCCTAGTCTTGTTCACCATCACTATAACCCGATCGTATCACCAGTGTAAAGGCCAAGAAGCACAAGATCCACCAAGACTCCGGCACAAAGAAAAAACTCTGACCAACAGAATCCAACACTCGTGTGTGTATATATATATATATTATGAGTAGTCAGAATCATAAGACACAAAACCAAAACAACTGGTAAACATGACCGGGTGCACTATTACTCTTGGGGTGTTTCCATATTCCCTCATCACCGCGACAGTCGGTGAAATACTATATATAGTATTAAGTTTAAACTAGACCCCTTGATGGCCCGAAAGTTTTAAGCAGAGCGTGCACAAGAATAGATTTACGTTGTTCTGAGCACACAGATTTTGGCGGCTCATTTCCTTTGTGACGTCGCCAAGCAACCCAGCACGCACAACGATTCGCATTTCACCTCACGTTTCGGCACTGGGCACTGAACACGCCATGCGCCACCCAACTTGGGGTGTGATCCTTCTTGCTGCTGCGCTTCTGGAGGTGTCAGCAGCGAGCCATGCCAGGAAGGCGCATGGCACGATGAACGAGGAGGAAGATGAGCAGGAAGAGTGCACTCAAGGGGCCCCTTTTGTGGAAGAGCCTGAGCCCACTGAGGTGAGCTGGTTGCTGTTCAGCCAGGCGGGCACTTGCTCTTCCCCTGAGGCCTGGCTCTTGTGCCGAATGTGGATGTCACCATTCAATTCCACGAGCCTGTTTAACCAGAGAGGAAGAAGGCAGGCAGCGAAGCTGAAGGCCTTGCCTCAAGGAGGCCTCGCAGGCACACCGCAAATTCCAGACAGACACTTACGCCAGCGCGCTGTCCTCCCCCCAGCAACCCGAAGCTACTTCTCGTACCACACATCCACTACAAAATCTTCAAAGTGACCACATCTGAGGCCACCTCACACAGGCTGCTTCCCGTACTACATTTGTACTATAAGCTTGCAAGCTCTGAGGCCACGAGCCCGATCCTGCGAGAGGGTCGCGCAAGTATCGGGCCCAAATTCTTTGCGGCCAGGTGGCAGCCTCTCACATGATTGGCCCCGTGGTAAGGCCTAGTAATTTTCTTGAATGAGCCGCGAAAGCTGCCTAATGGCCCAAGAACTGCCTTGGGTAGCGCGGTACCTGGAATTATCATGGACGGCATGGCCCCGAAAGAATTGCCAAATACCAAGCACAATTGAAGAATCTCTTCATCTGGGGGGCTTACACTCAAGAGTCTACATTGGGAAGCTCGGTTCACCTTGCTTTTCCGATCGAACCGGCCTCACGAGTCAGTCAGGCTCAATCTGGACAAGGTTTCAAGCGACCTGTCTAAGGTGCCTGAGGAGTTTGGGTCACGCACGGTCACAGACGGCTCTTTCTGGTGCTTGATATCTGATGTTTCCCAATCCTTCCCAGTTGCATGTCTCATACGTATCTCGGCCCTGGTTCCAGGAACCACCGGAACCAAGGCCGTGGCATTAGGCACAAGCAATTTTGCAAAGATGTTGAACTCCACAAAAAGATGCCTATATTTGTAATTCTAATGAATACAAGCAGTTCCCGGGCAAGCCGGCGGCGGAAGTTTCCTATAAGAACAAATTGACCTATAGGAGTGTCCACGTTCTCTCCAACATGTGCGTCCTCCAGTCAAACGCACGCGCTCCGGACTTTTCACCCACGGGATTCCACGTGTGTAAGGTGTGTGCCCCCTGCAGGATCAGCAGCTCACAACAGCGTACTGGGTTGTATCTTTGCCACGACAAGAGGGGTGTATGACGAGTGGTGTATGATGAGTGGTGTATGACGAGTGGTGTATGATGAGTGGTGTATGATGAGTGGTGTATTGACCAGCAGTTGAATGTCCTGTCCTGCATAAATGCAACCAAATGCTATCAGTATGAACTGTGCCAAACCTGCACGCCGCGAGAGATGACTCAGCAGCGAGAGATGACTCAGCCGCGAGAGATGGCTATAGCGAGAGCTGACTCAGCAGCGAGAGATAAATGAGCAGCTAGAGATGACTCAGTCGCGAGAGATGACTCACAGCAGCGAGAGCTGACTCAGCAGCGAGAGATGACTCCTCCGCGTACTACACTTGTACTACAAAGTGGCCAGTTCTCAGCTTCCAGCTCCACAGGTTGTTCCGCGTGCTAAAGTTGTACTAGAAAGTCGCCAGTCAGTTCTCATCTTCCAGCTCCCCAGATGCTCCGCGTACTGCAGTTGTACTACACAGTCGCCAGTTCTCAGCTTCTAGCTGCACAGATTGCTCCGCGTACTAAAGTTGCACTACAAAGTCGCCAGTTCTCAGCTTCCAGCTCTACAGATTGCTCCGCGTACTA